GGGGGGGTTGTGGGTTTTTGGTTTTTTTTTTTTTTGGTCTTTTTTGAGACAGGGTCTCCCTGTAGCCCCAGCTGCCCGGGAACTCACTATGTAGACCAGGCTGGCCTCGAACTCACAGAGATCCGCCTGCCTCTGCCTCCCGAGTGCTCGGATTAAAGGCATGGAAAGGCGTGCACCACCACGCCCAGCTCTTGTTGAGTTTTAAATCTCTTTGACTTTGATATTTTGTGGTTTTATTGTAAGTTTTGTTGGGAGATTTATTTTAAATGTATTTATTTAGTGTCACAGCAGCATGTACGCCACAGCATACATGTGGAGGCCAGAAGACAACTTTTGTGAATCAGTTCTCTCCTACCATGTGGCGAAAGGCGTGCACCACCACGCCCAGCTCTTGTTGAGTTTTAAATCTCTTTGACTTTGATATTTTGTGGTTTTATTGTAAGTTTTGTTGGGAGATTTATTTTAAATGTATTTATTTAGTGTCACAGCAGCATGTACGCCACAGCATACATGTGGAGGCCAGAAGACAACTTTTGTGAATCAGTTCTCTCCTACCATGTGGCTTCTGGGATCTGAAGTCAGACCATCAGGCAGGTTTGGTGGCAAGCACCTGTATTCACTGAGCCATCTTGCTGGCCCAAGTTGTTTTTTTAATTGACTCCAGATTTATTTTTATTTATGTGTGTATGTCTGCATTTTCATAGACCATACATGTGCTTAGCACCCCCAGAGGCCAGAAGAAAGCTTGAGATCCCCTGGAGCTGGAGTTACAGGTGCTTGTGAGCCTACATGTGGGTTCTGGGAACTGAACCCAGGTCCTCTGCAAGAACAGCAAGTGCTCTTAACCACTGAGCCATCTCTCCAGTCACCCTTTTAGGTTTTTTAAAATCGACTCACTGGGATTCTTGAATATTATTTGTTATTCACCAACTGTTCTATAAGTGTCAGCCAGTGTTCCTGCAAATTGCACCATCTCCCTATTGCGTCTCTTCGAATTCAGCTGGACTTTTCCACCCTACGTTCCCTTTGTGTATTTCCATATCGTTTTCTCTTTGTGAGACAGTTAAACAATTTCCTCATCCCTGTCTTCTAATGTACTAATTCTCTCTTGAACAAATCTAACATGCTGTTAAACTCTGTCACCCATCCCTGCCACAGCTGCAGTAAGAGCTCCCTCAGTCACACAGGGAGGCACCATAGTCTTGTATATGGCAAATGCCATAGGATCAGATAGGCTTCCGGGAGCATTCTAGACAGGCAGTCAAAGGAGAATGCTTTGGCAAAGTGCTGCCTGTGTTACCTGGGTCCTGGAGAGCTTGATAGAATCTTCCAGCACAAACCACTTGACATTCTCTGTGCAGGGGGGAGTGGTGAGTGAGCCACTGTACGTGTAGTAGTGGTAGAGGTCCCCAGGCAGCATGTCCTGAATGTCGATGCCATTCAAAGTTGTGGTTTGTCCTGAGAAGACAGGCCATGGAACGTGAGAGACTTGCTGGCCCCGAGGGACAGCACAGGCTCTGCCTCAGCAAATTCCAGGCCCGAGACTTAAGCTGAAGGAAAAAGAAGCTGAAGACAGAAATATTTCCGCAGTTTACTACTCCTTAGATGAATGAACAGCAGAGAGCTTGGCCTTGGGACGTGCACTTGTCATCCCAGCATTCATGGCAGGAAGCTCGCCATGAATTCAATACCAACCTAGGAGTGAGTTCCAAGGCGGCCTAGGCTACAGTGAAACCCTATCTCAAAACAAAACAAATAAAATCCAGCAGAGGCAGATGTACTCAAGTGCATCCTGCTGACTGAGTGGCCTTGGCTAGGTGAAAACGTGAAGGCTGATTTGAGTTTTTTTGTTTGTTTTGTTTTGTTTTGTTGTCTGTAAAAAGGACAACTCATAACTAGGGGCTGGAGCGATGGCTCAGAGGTTAAGAGTGTGTACTACTCTTTCAGAGGAACCGCATTTAGCTCCCAGCACCCATGTCAGGCAGCTCTAGGGCATCCAGTGCCCTCTTCTGGTTTCTACAAATGCCTGCACAGGTGGCATGCATTCACACAGTGGCATACACAGCCAATTATAATACACATAAAATTTTTTAAAAATTTAAAGAAATCTTACAAAAAAATAGAAAAGAGGTATAGCATCAGGTTCTCAGTGAACTAAGGGACCAGCTCCTACAGAGGAGCTGGCCCCAGAGCTCCGGGGCTGCAAGAGAAATGAAAGGTGGGAAGTAAGAGTTTGGGAGGTGGCCAGGCGTGGTGGTACATGCTTTTGATCCCAGCACTCAGGAGGCAGAGGAAGGAGGATCTCAGAGGTTAAACGTGTGTACTGTGAGCTCGAGGCCAGCCTGGTCTACGTAAGAGTCCCATGCCAGCTGAGGCTACAGGGTGATGCTGTCTCAAAAAAAGAAAAATGAGTTTGCATAGTGCATGAAAAAAAAAATCCAGAATTGTATTTTAGGATTTCTGGGGAGTGTTGATCTGAGTTTCTTTGTGGTACTGGAGATTAAGTCCCTAGTCTCCTGCATGCTAGGCAAGCACTCTACCACCAGGCTACATTTCCAGGCCGTTTGTGGTGCTTTGAGACAGGATCTCACTACTTAGCTCATACTGGCCTGGCCTGGAACTTGCTATGTAGCTTAGTCTGGCCTCAAACTCACCATCTCCGTCTCAGCCTACTGAGCACTGGGATGGCCAAATATATTGCACCAAACTCACCATATTTTTAGTTACAAATAAAAATGCTACTAACTAGGAGCTGAAGAGACAGCTCTGTGGTTAAGAGCATTTGCTGCTCTTGCAGAGAATCTAGATTCAGTTCCCAGTACCCACGTGGCAGCTAACAACCATCTGTAATTCCAGTTCCAAGGGATCCAATGCCCTCCTCTGGTCTCCAAGGGCACTGTACACATGTGGTATACATACATACACACATGCAGGCAAAATACTCATACACATAAAATAAAAATAGAATCTTAAAAAAATACTACCAACTAGACATCCATGCATTCCTGTCCAATCACCTTCGGCTATTTGAACACAGGCTCTGAGCAGGTAAGAGTTGGTGTGGGCTTTGGCAGGGCACCATATGGAGGGACAGAGGGGTGAGGACATTAGGGGGATGAGTTTTGAGGGACACCACAAGTGTTGGCCTGAGACAGTCTAAGGAATCTATGCTCGGTAGAGATGAGAGGGGTTGAGGTGCCTAGTGACCAGCAGGCGGAGGAGACCCATGCATCAGATGACTTGCTTGGATGCCTGGCTGGGGGAATGAGGTCTGAAGTTGGTGAACTGGGAACTAGGGTACAGGAAGATACAGGAAGTTGAGACTTCACAGCAGACACAGTCAAGGGCTGACCATGGGAATGGGTAATGATGACTGACTAGAACTCTCTCCTCTGAAAGTAGGGGACATGGTCGACCAGCCCTGGGCATTGCATTGGTATGTCTGAGTGGGAGAGGAAGGACCTTCACTCCTGACACTCTGCTCAGCTCAGAGCTAGGACAACTCTTCCTGGTGATCAGGACTGTTGCTGCCAGCTAGGGCCAGAGGTGATGAGAGTCACTGAAGTTAGGATGTTGTTAGTGAGTAGCACTCTAGCCATTCGGAAGTTCAAGTTGTGGCAACAGACAAGAGCTTATGAACAGGTTTCTCAGAGGTGCATGTGTGTCCCTCCAGAACCCACAGCAGAAAGGTCTAGGATAAGTGACCTTGGATAAGTGACCAGGGAGACCTGGCCTCCTCGGCAGAGTCATAGCCTCCCCTATCCTCCCCTATGCCCACCCCACAGCCATTCTTCTCTCCTGCTGGCATTCCTTACCTGGATACTGGATGTTGGCCAACTCAGAAATAAAGGAGCTGTAGTACGTGTTTTCAGCATAATCCTGGATCTGAGAAAAAGAACACAGAGCACTTAACACCAGGTGGGGAGACCTCAGGCCATTTCCCCACACTGGCTCCCTGATTTCCTAGCTGGGAGGCAGGGCAGAGAGTAAGGAAGGTAGCATCGCCCAGCTGTGTCAGGCTCCTGGCGACAAGCTGACCGTTCCTTACTACCAGCTGCCTGGGCTGTCACTCTCTTCAAGGGAAGCCAAAGCATTCTGGTACCTTCTGGGGAAAGCACCTTCTCAGTGCAAAGGCTGATGACACTCTTGGAAATGGTCAAAGCCACTGCTAACAAAATCCTCAGTGCACAGGTTTGGGGAGGTGTCGGTCGCAGTTGGATTCTCTGTGAGGAGCAGAGCTTGCCTCATCAGCTCCCTTCTCTGACCTCAGGGACAGAGCACTCTTTTACATGAAAGCTGCTTTGTTTTGTTTTGAAACAGCGTCTTACTGTCTAGCCCAGACTAGGCTAGAACCTTTGATTCTCTGCCTCAGCCTCCTAAGAGCTGGGATTACAGGCCTGCACTACTACAATCAGCTTTGGTTTTTGTTTTTGTTTTGTTTTATTATTTTTACCTTATGTGTATGAGTGTATTGCTTGCATGTAAGTGCACCCGTCCTGCGATGCCCTTGGAGGTCAGAAGAGGGTGTCGGATCCCCTGGAACTGGAGTTAGGGATGGTTGTTAAACACCATGTGGGTGCTGAGAATTGAACCCAGGTCCTCTGCAAGGACAGCCAGTGCTTTTAACCACTGAGCCATCTCTCCAGCCCCTGTTTTTGGTTTTTGGGGTACTATAGAAATGGCTGAAGAGCTAGAGAGATAGCTCACTGAGTAAGAGCAGTAGCTGCTCTTGCAGAAGACCCGGGTTCCCAGTACCCGCATGATAGCTAACAATCGTCTGTAACTCCAGTTCCAGGGGAATCCAACGCCCTCTTCTGACTTCCGCAGACATTGCACAACATGGGTGCACTTACATACATGCAGGCAATACACTCATACACATAAGATAAAAATAATAAAATATTTTTAAAAAAATAAAAAAGATGCCAGGCGTGGTGGCACATGCCTTTAATCCCAGCATTTGGGAGGCAGAG